TTAAAATTATGTCAAAATATATTAAAAATAAGTTATATTAATATAATATCAATAGGCTATATTAAAGAATAAAAAATATAAAAAAGATATTTAGAAATAAAAATATAAGATAAAATAAATTATACATTTAAAAATAAAAATATATATAATGAAATATATAAATAAAATTAAACTTTAAATATAAGTTAAATCTAAAACAAATAGATTTAAAAATATAAAGTTATACTTAAAAATACAAAGTTATATTAATAACCAGCCCTAAAATATATAGATAAATAGGCGTAAGTGATAAAAGGAAATATATTTCTTAGAACAGGGAACAATTATAAGATATAATTAATATAGTTTAAAAATGGAAATATAGCAATTAGAATTAGTTATACATTCGACATTTGAAGAGTTAGAGAAGTATAGTAGCTAATAAAGTAAAACCTATATTACGTAAATTTGAATTTGTTTTTATGTCAACATTTTAATACTAATTCATTCTTTTGATTCAATACTTGACTTTGATTATTGTATTTTATTATTCTAATTTATTTATTATTCTATTTTTTCTTCTAAACATAAGTTAAACCTATCTCTAAGACTATTAGGAACCTAAATCTTCCAACTTATTTGTGGGTTTAAACCTTTCTCCTCGAATTCCCAAAATTTCTTTGAAAGAGCTGTCTGGTGTTTTAATTTAGGGTTGATAAAAGAGTGCCTATGGATATAAAATCTCTGTTTCCATTTCCCCGCGGTAATTTCAATGTAAACATAATTTTTCATATTTTTGTGGGGTGAGGGTTGAAAATGATTTCTTGATATATAACACTAGTAGATCTGCATTTGCCCTCTACTGGACAATTTTCTTTATATCGTCAATTACAGGAGTGTTCAACACCAAGTTTGTTGTTTATCCCATAGAAATTTCCTATTCCTTTGCCTGCATTTCACTTTAGATATTTCAGTGTTACTTATAGGGGTTAGATAAGATAATTTATTTTTAAAATCACTTTTATGAACAGCATTTTTCATACATTTATTAAAGATGTTTATGCTGGAGGATTATCAACTAATCCTAGTGCCGACAGTGGTGGGTATCTGTTTCAAAATGGCATTGGGGCGGTTAGAATTAGCATTAATATTGGTGAGGGTTTCATTGTCTTTGCGGTATGGTTTAAACGTTTTATTATTGAGGATAAGAGTGATGTCTATTTTAAGGTTAGAAGAAATTTCAATCCTAAATCCTAGTAATTTAAAGGCCCTAATGATTTTCTTTTATATATTCGCTGTTAGTGGGCCATTACTATAGGGGATGAAAATGAGTCCATCATCTCTATGTAGGCCTATTTATTTGGGATCTACAATTCTACTAAGTGTATCCAAAATATAAAAACATACTAAATCAGCAAACTGGGCTGCATCATATGCCCCTCATGGGGATCAAAATCGTCATTAAGCTAGTCCAGGTGGAATTGTTCAGAGCTAACAGTGATTTTCTTGTTGTGCAGATTATCTTCATATAGTTTTTGCAATGCTAATATAATTAACCAAGAGATCCTGGAGATGAAGGAATAGAAACCTATGATGTCAAATTGAATAAATGCACCACTTTCCTTATCTCCCATAATGAGCAACCATTTGATTGTATCCGACGAATACTTTCAGAGATTAGTACAGGTTGTAATTCGTAATTTCTTGGCTATTTTTTTTAATTATATTTTTTGAGATTACACCTAGTTCCGTTTTTGTTGGATTTATTAACCTAGACTGTATGTCATTTGCGAAGTTAGGCTTGTGATCCTTAAATCAAAGGTATGCATCTTTAGTATGGAGCTTCTCCACTCTATCCACAATAATTAAATTATTTGCGGTCTTGGGAGTCTCATGTTCGATCTCAGAGATCATTCTGTTATATCTATCGAGTTTATACGTGTCTGTTATTTTGTTAGTGAGAACCTTATGACAGTGTTACATTTATAAATGTTTTTGAATTTTTCAGCTCTAAAAGAAATGGCTTTAGATCTTTTAATATTTTTTTATATCCTTGTTTAACTTTTCTTGAAATTGGTTGGGCAGCTTACAGAATTTCATTTTTTAACTAGGTTAAACAGTTCTCTTTCAAAAGGATCCAGGAGTTTGCAGGAAGGTGGTGCTTTTGGGGTTTTAGATTGTAGGTTTTGTATTTGCGGTCTGGTGTTTCGGAAGGGTTGAGATAGATACTTGTATCTATAAATAACAACGTTAAACATAAAAATGTCTTTAATAAATAAATTGTCGGACCGTGTCCATTTCTTAATATATGACGTCATTTGTTTACATATGATACGCCAGAGCAGTTGTGAATGTACGAGATTCATGGAAGATTGGAGTTTATAAGCAGTAAATTCGACCTTGAACGGTTCTTTGTGGCCGAGCGGTCAAGGCACGTCAGCGTATATGACGGTTCCGTATAGGATGCAGGTTCGAATCCTGTCAAAGAACGAATATTTTCTATGAAAATGTCTCGGACATT